CCCCCATCCCCTAATCTCTGAACCTGGTAATTCATGGCACTTTCTTAGATTTAATTTCAAATTTTCAGTTGTTGTCCAAGATATCTTTACTTGAATCTTATATCAAAGGATTCAAACCACCATATGTGACTTAACTACTTTATTATGCACTCAAATCAGATTTATGCTTCTTAACAGATGCACATGATTTGTTTTAAATAATTAATATTCCTTAAAAGTTCCTTACTGTGAGAGGGTGAGCTTTTTCATCAAATATATCCAGAGAACGCACATCGTGGTCTCTGAAGTAAAGAATGAGGCTTCATTTCAATATTATATCAACTAAATGTTGAGAAATATGTTTTTTTGTCTTCTCACAAGCAAGGGACAAAGAAAATATTCTCAGTCCCCATAAGGAATCGAAACTCAGACCTTCAGATTCCACACTTCGATGCTCTACCACTGAGCCACAGAGACTCTACTGTAAGCAAGGTCTATTAAAAAGTTCATATGACACAAATCCTGCATACTTCTAGGATCAGCAATGTTAATAGCCTTGTGTTTGTGAATAGAATAAAAGAGATGACAAGTTTTGAGCTCGGTAAAGAAATAGAGTAAGATGTTTTTTCAGCGTGGGGTAAATCTAGCAACCAATTAAATGTTTTTCAAATTAAAGCCAAAAAAGAAAAAAAAAACACTTTCAGTAATTATTGGAATTATGGCCTGTGTACTGATTGCATCAGAGCACAAAAGAACTTTGCATTTGAATGTGGTTTACCACAATCTACTAATCTTTGCCTTTGGCAATCGTTTGGTAAAACTGGAAAACTACGAACATAATTAAGTAAATGTCTACCTTCAGGGTCACAGAAATGACAATATAAGTGTTTTACAAAAATTAAACAACTTCCGTTTGAGGATAAATAAAGAAAAAAATTAATTCAAACAGTACTTTTGCTTATGTTAAAGGAAAGTGCATGCAAATATTGCGCAAATATTACCAAAAACACAAAATAAGCTATTAACTAAATTGTTCTCCTTGATAAATTTTGAGTAACAAAAATTCATATATGGCAAACTGCCCAGTGTCAATAATTATGTGCTCCTGTTTCTTCTCTGTCACAATCTTCCTTAATCGCAATCAATCTTAATTTAATCAAATTAAAATCAAGCAGAATATAAATTTTTGATCCTATTTTTTTTCTATAGAACTAAAGATTCTGATGTAAACAGCACATGTTTATTGAATAAAACAGCTAAAAGAGCCACTTTAAGATATATTACAGCAGCTAAAACAATTTATAACAACTGTTTGTAGAGAAACAAAACAGGACATGTGTACACTTCAAAACAGACATAACAATTACCCACCTGTTCTTAATATGGTAATATATCGCCAAAGCCACACTGTGAAAAAATAATAGCACAGTTTAAGACTGTGTTTTTGTAAAGAAAATATCTTAATTGTTGCTAACTTTGAGGTTAATTCATGGTGTACCTGAATTCTACAAGCATTATTTGCACAATATGACATTTGTGCCATTTGCTTTTATTTCATGAGTGAAAAACGAGTTATAGAGATAATCATCAAATCAAATATAAACCTTGCATTCCTAAGTGTCCAAGAGTTTGCTATAGCCACTTCACAAAAGGCACAAGAAAATTTGTAACTGTGACAACCAACCTTTCAAAAAATTATTTAAAAAATCCAGCTTGACGTCTCCCTTCCCTCCTTTCAATGTTAGTTATAAGAAAACTCCAGCGCTCGCAGGTAATTCATCATTGAAAGGGGAATAGGGTGTGTCAAGAAAATTTTATGAGGGTCATACCTAATCCCCCCCC